ACTGACCTTCAGCAAGACGCTGCTAAAGCCGGTAGCGGGGGCCCTCTCTATCAGCTTCTGGTGGCTGATGTGCTCGTAGTAGTTGCTGAGGTCCCACAGCACCGCGCCTGAATGGAGTGGGTCTTGGCAGGCCACTCCATTCTCAGCCTTGAGGCTCTGGCGAAAGACTATTTCGGTGATGTTCTTGCCCGCCTGGTGGGCCAAGAAAGGTCGGCGGTGCTTAGCCTCCCATTGTCTCGCTTCCATTTGTCGGGCCTTGTACCATATTCGGTAAAGCCCAGGCATCATCCCTATTCCTCGGAACTGGGCCATAGTCTTGGCCTCTGGCTTCGCTTTGGTCTTGGGGATCAAAACCGAGACAACTGCCTGCAGCTGGGTGGGCATCGCACCTATCTTCTCGACCAGGTGCAAATATCGGCAGACCAGCGCAGCCTGCTCCAAATTCAGACTCTGAAAATGCTTCGGGTGGAACCCATCCCATGTCGAAGCTGTCGTATGTGAAAAGCGTTTAGCGGCGTCTATGAGGTGCTGGGGCTTGATGGGTGGTAGAGAGGGCTCATGAGGGCCAGCGGGGACATGATAGCGGGGCCTGTGGTAGGTCGTGTCCCAAAGCTCTCCAAGTCGATCGGCCTCGCGTTCCAAGTCGCGCGAGGGTCTACCAGTCCAAGTGCCTTTCCAGGGGACCTCGTTGGGGTTCCACGCGCCAAGCATCTTAGTCCATCGGTGAGCCCACCCTCCGTTTCCTTGCGTCCCAATATGCACCCACTCGCGCCAGGCTTTATTGGCGGAACGTTTTTCCAGGTCTATCTCGACATCGAGGCTCTTATTGATGGCCTCCAACACATCGTCCAACACTTGCCTCACATGGGAAATCTCCAGGACCTTGGCTTCCACGTCCAGGACAAGGAAATTGAGGGTCTGGTGGGTAGTCTCTAAGCACTCGCGGAGCGTCTCTATCTCGCAAAACTCGTTCGGGGGGTCCTCTAGGCACGCAAAAAGATCGGTCAGGGCGCTAGCATCTAGCTTCGCGAGGGTGAAGTAGAACTGCTGCACGACATTCCGAAGCCATCGGGGCGGGCCTGCCTGGGAATTTCACGCCGCCCGATGTGTCTTCGGAAACTGTTTCGCTTGGACCCATGTGACCCTAAGAGGCGCGCTCGAGGTCTAGAACTGCGTTTCAAAACGGTGTCCGTCAAACCCGCGATCGTAACTTCCAAATCCCTGGCCAGGTAGTGATAAACTTCGTCGAGCACCCGTTGTTTCCCCCCCTGGATCGGTCTATCAAAGCTCCTGTTGAGGATGGCTTCGGCAGCGTCTAGGGCAGCTTCTGTGGCAATCCAGTCGCGCTCTGGCAATCTGGGGCCAAAGACAGGCTTGGTAGGCAGCCGCTGCGGCTTGCACAAGACAAGGACTGTGAAATCCTCGCCAGTCTCGGGCTGAACACTGACAGGACGATGTGGTGACAGGGGATAGGACACATGAACCTGAGGTGAGTTGAGCACATGCTGGAGACACCTACTGTGAACAAAGTAATCCAAACATGATTGTGAAGTCTTGGCTCTGCATGTCGGGGAGGGGGGATATATGATCTGCATGTCTGCGCGCTGTATGAGGTCATTCTTCTGCAGCTTGCTAGGACTCACGTTGTAGCCCCCAGCTACAAGATTGGAATCTGGTATTCATGCTGAAGTATGGCGGTGGCCGCCAAGAGGTTCATACTGGTCTCGTTCAGGCCTGTGCTGGCCTGCATGTACACGGAAAGAATTCCTATGACACCAAGCCCAGGCAGCTCTACCCTTGCACCGACCAGGCGTCCCTGAGGAACCATGTCCTGAGCTTCCCTGGGCACTTTCATATCCTGAATCCCAGAAGGTCCCGTCCACTCCTGAACAAAACGCAAACTCCAGAAGTCGGGGTCCCCGTAGAGCTGAATGAGCCTGTCTCAAATATGGCTTCCCATCCATGCCGTTCACATCATTGACTAGCATAAACGATGGACTGCTCTGTGCATAGCTTGGTCTCCTGCGCACATATCACACTCTCGCCCCCAGAGGCAGCTGAACGAATGTACGTCTTCACCTGCTGCCAACAACTGCCATTGTTCGTGGTGATCCTCAGGCTACCCGCGAGACGAGCGAGCGCCACTCCCTTTGCCAGCTGAGGGTGCTGCAGCCGTCGCCGAGAGCTTGAGCTTCTTGCTGGCCTCTTCGCTGTCCAAGTCCGCCTTGGCAATGCCCTCCTGGCTGATCTGGAGTGCGTCGGCAGCTCGTTTGCGCGCAGCCTCCATCGCTTCATCGTCGTCGTCTCCTGGGACTGGTTGGGCAACGTGCGCCAGGTCATCATCATCCTCAGCCTTCTCGCCAACCTTGGGGAGGGGGTGGGCATCTGCGTCTTCGCTCGCCTTGGTGGATGCCGCGGCCTTAGCCGCAGCGTCCTCGCTCTTCTGCTTCGTCTCGATTGTCTCCAGCACCTGCGCCACCGCCAGCAAGTGCTTGTCCAGCTCTTCGGGGATGTGGTCCATTGGCTTGTCGATTCTGGTCGCGATGAGCGTGCGCATCGCCTCAGATATGGGCACTTCCTGCACTGCCTTCTGCGCAGCCGCCTGCTGGGCCACCTGCAGCTGCACCTGGAGCCTCTGCACCTCGCCCGTCGCCTGGCCGTACTCCTCGAGCGCGTTCTTGTGCTTGTCGGCGATCGTGACCAGCTGCTGGGTGAGCTGGTTGACCGTGTTCCTGCACTGACCATGCTTGCGTTTCGCCTGCGCCAACTGGTCGGTGACGCTCTGGACTTGTTGATCAGGTGTTTTGTCTTGTAGTGCCACCAGCTTAGCACGTTTGAAACCTTCGACCGCATCCTTATACTCCTGGCTGGCGTCGCCCTCCCACTGCTTCCAGAAGACCATCTGCGCCTGCGCGAGCTCGATGGCGGACCCGCTGGAGTCCTGCTGCTTGCTGCCGTCCGTGAACTTCTCGGTGGTGGTCTCTTCGCGGGCAGGTGGTTCTTCTGCGGCAGCACCTTGGGGATCACGCGAGCGACCTCGCCAACGTCCCCCTCGCCGTCCACCTGCTTTATGCCCTGCATCTCGTTCTCCTTCGAAGTTGACTGACCGTGGGCGGCCTGGTCGTACTCCACCACCTCCTCCTGGGGGAATGTCATCGTTGGAAACCATCTTCTTCGCGGCGAGCTTCGAGCCACAGCGAGTGCAGTGGGAAGCCCCGCGGTCGGCCCAGGCCCAGCCGTTGCAGCCGTGCCACGGGCAGACCAAGTATTTGCCGCGCGCCATGCCGCTTCCTTCAGTAGCAGTAGTCCTGTCCCGAAAAGGAGTAGTGCAAGAAGGCCCATCTGGCTGGGCGCGCGGGCCACGCACTGTCGTGGACGGATCATTGTGAGGAAGAAAGGGGCCGCTGCAGCCAGCTCGCCTCGAGCCAGCCCCTTGAGCCAAAATGGCTTGAGCCAAAATGGCTACGGTCTGGGGGGGGGGATGGAGAAGGAGGAGGAGGAGGAGGAGGAGAAAGACGGAGGAGGGAGGAGTATGGGGGGGGGGTGCCAGGGTGACGACGACGTTGAGGTTTCCAGAGGTCTCCTGTTGTTTCCATTGGTTGTTTGCGAAGGGGTGGAGCGGGTGGGGGCGCTCTCCAGGGGTCGGTCTGGAAGCTTGAGGATGTCTCGGTGTGGGGCCCGAGGGGGACGAGGAAGGGGTTGGGAAAGGGTGGGGGTGGGGGGCGGACCGCGGACAGAGGCGGTGGCGCGGACAAAAGGAGCACGCAAACTATGTCTTATCTTCCCCGTGCCGCCTGCTGCTGCAGCTCCGCCAGCTTCCTCCTCCGCGTCCCACGGCGGAAGCACTGTGGTATGTGGTGCATACCATGTGGAAGCAGCTATGAGGTGCAAACTACGTGGTGGAATACACGTAGTGTACTCGATGTGATGGAAGCTTTGTGGTGCTAGCTAAATGGTGGAAGCTATGTGGTGCAGGCTGGGTGGTGCAATCTACGTGGTGCAAGCTTCGTGGTGCGAACGAGGTGGTGGACCCCACGTGGTGCAATCTGTGTGGTGCCAGCTGTGTGGTGCAGGGTTGTGCTGCAGCCTGCGTGCGAGGCGGCGACGAGCGAGCACCGGCGGAAACCCAGAGGGCCCACACGAAAGTCGTTGAGAAGCCGAGCAGGAATCCATTAGTGCAACCACAGCCAGGGGGGCAGGCTTCATCCTGTCCGCTCCTGCCTTGCTCTGTCACCTCAGCATCCTTCCCAGAAGTCTGGAAAGCACCTGTGGCAGTTTGCCAAGTCCTGAGATGGACATGTGCGTTCCGAATTGCACTCGGCGGCGCGTTGGGGTTAGACCCAAACAGGAGAGTGGAGGTTCAGAGCGCCAGGTCAGGGGAGAAGCCGACAATACGTTGGAACAGCCAGGCGTAAGCATCATGGGGACGACGCAGGTCGCAACAGTCAGGGCGATAAAGTAGTGTTGAGTTTGTGGTGTGCCCTTCCACTCCAACTTCCACATGTGCGTAAGCAGAGCCAACGATTGAAATCGGATTGTGCAAACCTGCCCCGCTCTGCCTACAAGTCACCGCCCTATGGAAGTGCGATTGCACGAGCGGGCGAGCGACGAGAGAGCAATAGGCAAGGCACCAACAAATGACAGGATATCTGGACTCAGCAGCCAATAAAACAGAGAACCATGGCTGATGTCGGAGAAGACAGAGCACAGCTTCGCGAACCAGCTTGTAACCGATCTCTGCACGGTGCGCAGCGTTCAGCTCGTGGCGCGTGTTCGCCTCGGGCAGGCCGGCCCGGGCAACGCCGCTGGACAGCAGCCTCTGTTCTTCAGTGCTCAGACCATCAGCCGAGACCGCTCGCCACGGGTGCATCCGTCGGCGGGGCTGCCGAGCTCCTGCCGCGCGTGCAGGCAAGGAGCACGGCGGCAGCGGAGGCGCCAGCGGCGCGGCGCTCGGCGACCGCGCGCAGGCGATACCTGGCGCGGCAGCGGAGCTGGTGGCCATGCTCGGGGCGCCAACCTTGGCCGTTGGGCTCGGGGAGGTTCGCGCCCGAGGGCGGCGGATCCCGTCGGCCCTCGAGAGGCGCTGCGGGGCGCTCGACGGGGCTGCGGCTGTCCTTCGCCATCAGGGCGAGGCGGAGGCTTTCGTCGCCAGGCTTCGGCGCTGGCTGGCGGATGGTGCCGTGCCCAGGGCGGGCCGGCAGGAAAATGACTTCGAGGAAGTGCTCGGCAGCGACGGCAAGATTGAGGAGGCTGTCCCCGAGCACCGCGTGGAGCTCGGCACGCAGGTGGAGACCGTCGAGCTGGAGCCCAGAAGGGCCGAGGGTCAGTTCGAACAGAAGTCCACATTGAGGGAGCTGCTGGGCGAACGGGTGCTGGAACTGCACGCAGTCAGCGAAGAACGCAAGCAGCGCATAGCGGACACGCGCAAGGAGAAGGAGCAGCTGGTGCAGCAGCTGAACCACGAGGAGCAGAAACACAACGAGTCCAAGGAGCGGATCAAACAGGTGGAGCACGAGGCAAAAGCCCTCGCGAACATGGTGGGCAAGCAGCGGATGAAGTACGCGCAGCCTGAGAAGGCCATGGACGAGCAGCACGAGATCGCCTCGCTCGCGGAGGTCCCCGTCTTCCCCGCCCTGCACATCGTCGGGGAGGTCCAGTCGCGCGACGTCGAGCGGCAGCAGCAGCGCGACGACGACGCCCAGGAGACCAACGGCCACCCGCTGAGCTCCACGGAGGGCCAGGGCAGGCAGCGGAGCGTCGACGAGGCTAAGGTGGACATCTTGGACGACCAGTTGGGCTCCACGGGCGAGTGCACGCAGGGGGCCTTCGGCAACCTGCCGAGCATCGTGAAGAACCAGGGCAGTCCCCAGCACGCCTACGCGAATGAGAAGAGCAACGGCGAGGCGCTGTCGGTCCAGGCACGGCGGTGGGCCGCACAAACAAATCCCGAGCGGCGCGAACAGGGCCTCGCGAGAAAGGAAAAGGAGCCATAGCTGAAGCAGGATCAGCAGCAGGAAGCGGACGCAGAGACGTCCAGGTGGGTGACGATCCGCCGCGCGCTGACCATGGTCGCCACCGTGATCGGCTAACCCTGGCGCCGCGTGCGAGCTGATTGCCGTGCGTGGATGTCGCGCTGGAGCCGGTCAGGGGTGGTCGCCTTTCTTGCTCCACCCACGGCGGCGACGGGCGCTTGGCCATGCACGCCGCGGAGGGGGCAGCAGGGCGCGCGGCCAGGGCCTGGAGAGCGCGGACGAGGACCACCGCAGCCATCATCGAGGAGGCGGTGAGAAGCGCGGCTCCACCATGCACGCCGAGGGACGGGCCCTGCCAGGCGAAGGCTGGCAAACCCGTGGCTGCTAACACGGAGCTGCGGGAAGTTATGGCTTCTTTTGGGAAGCAGCCCGCTTACTACACAAGTGCGCCAAGTTGTGTTCCGGGGATATGTTTTCCTTCTTCCGGGAAGAGTGTTTTGGCAGCCGCGGGTTTGCCGGCCCTCGCCCAGCTTCCGAGAGAGTCCGCTCGACCTGTGCAGCCTCATGCTGGCGCCGTCGGAGCCTCTCGCCGCTCGCCGCGGCGGGGCCGCGCGGAGGTGAGTGGGGCGGGCGAGGGATGCGCCCGCTGCCTTGCTGCGATCTTCGGCTCGGCCCGCGTCGGTCGGACGGCGTGCGGCGGGTCAAGCGGTGCGCACAGAGAGAGCTCGCACCCCGAGATCCTTCAGCTCAGCGATCTGGCCCTTGAGCGTCTCCATGGCGACTGGGAAGGCGAGGATTGCTGAACTGATGGGTTTCGACGTCCTGGCATACCGAAATCCATCGGTTCAGTGATCCTCGCCTCCCCAGTCGCCATGGAGACGCTCAGGGGCCAGATCGCTGAGCTGAAGGATCCCAAGGGGCGTAAGAGAGAGAGAGAGAGAGAGTCTGCGACCACTAGCGAGCCCAACCCTTGCGGATCCCATCGACGCGCGGGTATCGGACATCCCCGCTAGGGTTCACGTGGCTGCAGACACCCTTCGGCTTCTGACTCCCGGCCTGCTCTCCAGAAATGCGAGCTGCAGGGGTACATAGGGCCACGCGTGGTGGCCCAGAGATGAGGGCGGGTTAGAGGCAGGGACAGGGCGGCGGAGGAGGAGCAGGATGAGGAGGAGGAGGAGGAGGAGGGCGGAGGAGGAGGAGGAGGAGGAGGAGGCACCCGGGCCTCGTTTTGGTGGCGCGCGACCCGCGCGGTTGTGCTCCGCCGCTGCCGCGGAAGGGGCACCGCTGGATGAAAAAGGTCAGGTGCGGGAGGTTCGTGCCGTCGCGGCGCGGCGGAAGCGCCGGCGCGTGTCTTCAGCGCTGCAGGCCCATTGCGGCCTCGGGGGACACGCGTTGGCGGGATGGTTAAGGTGAGTTTGATTTCATAGTACCTAACAGCTTTTGCTGATAGGTTTCTAGTAGGGTCAAAAGAGAGCATCTGGACTCCACAGGGGGGTCTGGGCGGGTGCCGGGGAGGAGGGCCGGGAACAGAGCCAATCTCGCTTTAAGCCAACAGTCACACACTTCGTGCTCTTCGACCTCCCAGAACTCCATTCCCGGGCCACATTTTGAATAACCGGAGCCAGCTGTAGGCCACTTCGTGCTCTTCGATTTCCCAGAACTCCATTCCTGGGCATGATTTTGAATGCCCGGAGCCAACTGTAGGCCACTTCGTGCTCTTCGACTTCCCAGAACTCCATTCCCGGGCCACATTTTGGATGCCCGGAGCCAACTGTAGGCCACTTCGTGCTCTTCGATTCCCAGAACTCCATTCCCGGGCCACATTTTGGATGCCCGGAGCCAACTGTAGGCCACTTCGTGGTCTTCGAGTTCCCAGAACTCCATTCCTGGGCATGATTTTGAATGCCCGGAGCCAACTGTAGGCCACTTCGTGTTCTTCGAGTTCCCAGAATTCCATTCCCGGGCCACATTTTGAATGCTGAGACAGGCTGAGGCTGAGGCTGAAGCAGGCTGAGGCTGAGGCAGGCTGAGGCTGAGGCCGAGGCTGAAGGCAGACTGAGGCTGAGGCTGAAGCAGGCTGAGGCTGAGGCAGAGAGGCTGAGGCTGAGGCAGGCTGATGCTGAGGCAGGCTGAGGCTGAGGCTGAGGCTGATGCAGGCTGAGGCTGAGGCAGGCTGAGGCTGAGGCTGAAGCTGAGGCTGAGGCTGAGGCTGAAGGCAGGCTGACTGAGGCTGAGGCTGAGGCTGAGGCAGGCTGAGGCTGAGGCAGGCTGAGGCTGAGGCCGAGGCTGAAGGCAGACTGAGGCTGAGGCTGAAGCAGGCTGAGGCTGAGGCTGAGGCAGGCTGAGGCTGAGGCAGGCTGATGCTGAGGCAGGCTGAGGCTGAGGCTGAGGCTGATGCAGGCTGAGGCTGAGGCAGGCTGAGGCTGAGGCCGAGGCTGAAGGCAGACTGAGGCTGAGGCTGAAGCAGGCTGAGGCTGAGGCTGAGGCAGGCTGAGGCTGAGGCAGGCTGAGGCTGAGGCTGAGGCTGAGGCTGAGGCTGAGGCTGAGGCAGGCTGAGGCTGAGGCCGAGGCTGAAGGCAGACTGAGGCTGAGGCTGAAGCAGGCTGAGGCTGAGGCTGAGGCAGGCTGAGGCTGAGGCAGGCTGAGGCTGAGGCTGAGGCAGGCTGAGGCTGAGGCTGTGACTGCGACTGCCGTTGCCACTGCGACTGTCATCGCGAATGCGACTACGACTGCGAGAACAGCAGAATTCTACAACTGGATTCTCATCCGAATCTTAAGGGGAATGCTTCCAGATATGCTCCTACACAGCGCTGTTAGGTTGCTTTGCCGGGATACTTTTACTTGGCGTGCCTGACCTTCCGCCAAATCGCTGCGTTCGCTCACGCTCGTGTGACGGCCCGTCGCTTGGCTGCCGCTCGTCCCCACAGCGTTCTTCTTGCTCCTCGCCAGAAGGTGCGCTGCACCAGAAACATTTAAAGTTTGGACCAGTTCACGCAGTAGCAGAAACCAGGGCCGACGACGCGATTGCACGAGCTTGGCTGAGTAGCACATGCCGAGCACAAGGGCAGGCTGCTGCAAATCTGATCACTCCCCTCAACGGAGACTCCAGTGGGTAACCCCCCGAGGTTGGGCGTCGCCGTTTCCCGTCTTCTCGGGGAGTGCACTAAAACTTCGCAGGATCTTTCGTCGCCGTTTTTTTTTTCCGGGGTTCCTCGGCGTCCTTTGGGGCGCATGATGCGGACGCGGCTTGCTCGCGGGCCTCCTTGGGGCGCGTGGCCTCATGGCGGGCGCCACCGAAGGCCCCAGTGTCAGGGTTCACATATGCCCCCTGGCAAAGTTGGGCACACGCACGCACGCACACATCACACGGTTCGTGGCCTCATAGGCAGATTCACCGAAAGCCTCAATAGCAGGGCTCACATGCGTCCCAAGTCCAGTTTTGGCACACCCCTCACACGGCGCGTGGCTTCATAGGAAGATTCAGGGAATTTCACTGAAGGCCCTTGTGACAGGGTTCGCATGCGTCGTGGTAAGTGTTTTGGCGTGTCGTCGTCGCTGTTTTGCTTGAAGATGTTCATTGAAGACTTGCGTTTTGCTCGCCTTTTTTTGTTGGGGTGGGTTCGTGTGGGGCGAGTCACGTCGCCGTTTCTCGGTGACACTCGGGAAGTATGCAGGAATTAACTGTTTTTCACTGGTCTCTCTGAGCGGATGGGTTAGGTAAGAATAAAAGGGTGTGATCAAATCTGGCGAGGTCATCCTCGCCCTCTCCCCTCTTCCTTCCCAGCGCCCTCTTCCCTCCTCCTCCCTCCGAGCCGTCCAATGGTGAGCTTCTCACGAGTGGGGCATGGCTGGACCCCCGAGCAAACCTGCCCCCAGGACGCCATCCAAGGGCGCAATCTCAAGGTGGTCGCCAATGATTGGCCCCTGCAGCCATATGTGTTCAAGCGCGCCCCCCCGCAGGGCGTGCCAACTCCGCGGGTGCCTGCCAAACATGCCTATGACTCCGGCCATGTCCTGGCGCCGCCCAGGCCGCGGCGCGCCAGTGCTGATGCCGTTGCTGGCGTTGCTGTTGCCGCTGGGATCGCTCGGGGCTCGATCGCCAGGCGGCGACGGAGGCGACACCGAGCTGATGCCCGAGATGATGGCAGCGGAGCATGTCGGCGGCGAGAACCGAGCATCGCCAGGCGGCGGCGGAGGCGACACTGAGCTGATGCACGAGATGATGGCAGCGGAGCAGGTCGGCGGCGAAATCCGAAGCCTGCCCTGGCCGATCCACGACCGAGGCACCTCGATGGGCGGCGTGGGCAGGGCTCGGAGTTTGTCGAGCACGTGGGGGGGGGTCGACCCTGCCGCCCGCCTCCCATCGATGCAGGAGGGTCTGGGCGGGGCCAGGGCGAGGAGAACTCCGTTCCAGCGCGCTCCCGAACGCCCTCCGAGCGCTCCAGGAGGAGGAGGAGGAGGAGGAGGAGGAGGAGGAGGAGGAGGACGCTCCGAGGAGGCCGTGGCGCCCGAGGCGCCCGCCGGAGCCGCCGGATCTCAGATCTCGGCTCGATCCTCGCGCGAGTCTGCCCTCGCCCTGGCTCCGTCGCAGAGCCGATGGTCGGCGGGGGGGTGGTCGGCCGTCGCCACCCAGCAGGAGGGCGGAGGGGCCAACGCCACGGGCCGCGGGCCTCCCCGTGCGCGCGGCCCGCCCGAGGGGGCGCCCGGGGCCTCGCCCGTGCAGGCGCAGCCGCTGGCCTGGCAGGTGCTGGCGGCGGGAGCCTTCGCCCTGGCGGTCTGTCGCCTGGGCTGGCTGCTGCAGGCCTCGCCATGGAATGACGACGACGACGGCGACGACGACGACGACGACGACGACGACGACGACGACGACGACGACGACGACGGCGGCGGCGGCGGCGGCGGCGACGACGGCGGCGGCGGCGGCGGCGGCGACGGCGGCGGCGGCGGCGGCGGCGGCGGCGGAGGCGGGCGCCCCCTCCCCGGGGCCGCGCCTCGCCCCTCCTGCGGGTCCCGAGGGGAAGTCGGGCGGCAGGATCCGTGCATGTCCACTGCGCCCCGGCCAGGCCCACGCCGAGCCCAGCAGCAGTGTCTGCGCCACGTTCTCCCTGGCGTGGCCTTAGGAGGGCGTGCACGCAGCCCCTGGGGTTCAGGATGGGCCTGGCCAGGGAGCAGCGGACATGCACAGACCTCGTCGCCCTGGGGGAAGGGGCACAGTTTGCCTCCCGAGGCCCTTCACCCAGGCCCTGGGGCCGTCAGGACATGGTTCGGGGTGGCAGGCTGGCCCCCAGGAAGGCCCTGGGATCCAGGCTCCGCATTCCTCGTGGCACCCTTCCCTCCTGATAGAGGCCGACTGGTACCCCAGCGACGGGCTTGCCGCGCTGAAGCCGCCCAAGCTCGGCCTTGGAGGCGCAGTCGCCGAGCCGTCATGGCCCGAGGGGTTCTATCTCGCGTCGCTCGCCGGCCCCGCCGCTTGTGCTCGCGTCACGGCCTGTGTCGGCAACGATCGCAAGGGGTGCGTCCACTATGCCGGGTGCTCCGGCTGCTTGGTCCTGCTCGTGGGCGTGGCGTTCCTTGCTGCCCTTCTGGTCTGGGTCTTCGCCGCGGACGCGGTCCGCCCAGACGGTGTGCTGGCCCGGCGACCGGGGGCCTCCGAGGCAGTGCAGGCGGCCCTCTCGGTCTCAGACGGGCGTGGCCGGCCCGAGCATGAGGCCACTGGCCCCTCTGCGGGAAAACGCTTGGCTTAGGGCCGGGTGCAGGCAGGGGCACCGCTATCGCGCCTCTGCACCTTGATGATTTCAATGCCCAGCGGGAGCCTCGGCCTTGCGAGCAGAGCGCCGCTGCTCTCAGTATAGTTGGGCTCCACGCTCCGTTGCCCCACGATCCATTTACATTCCCCAGACAGTGCTTGCACTTGGGGGTTCCACTGAGGAATCGGGTGGGCAACCCAACGGTTTTTTTTGTGCTGGCCGCCCCGTGACCGCCCGCCCAACGTAGCTTGCATCACATGTCTTGGACCACATGACTTACACTGCATGGCGTGCACCAAGTAGAGTGCACCACAGAACTTGCACCACACAGCTCACACATCTACATCCACAGCGCAATAACCTACTGTTCGGGATCCACGCTGGTTAACATTTGACCATCTGCCAGTCTTTTTCCCTTGCCAGGGAAAGACAGAGTCAAGTGATTTCTTCCGCGGCGTCTCTGCGCTTCCATTCCCATAGGCGCCACAGCAGCGCACCGCTTGCGGTCTGTTCGTCCTCGTCTCCTCGCTCTTCTGGGGCCGCGCGGCTCGGCAGGGCGCTCGGCCTACGGCATGCGCAAGTCTGCCGTGCAGTTGCGAGCCCACTCCCGCTGTTGTGCAACGCCTGATTCCCTCGAGAAGTTGAAAGGGTGCGCAAGGCTTGTTCAATCCGTGTGTGTGTATGTGTAGTGGAGGGGCGAAGTGTTGCGGTGATCACGCGTTTCATGGCCTGGGCTCTGCTTCGGCCAGCGAAGCCGCCTTGCCCACGGATGGGGATCTAGCTTTTGCCCTTGGGCCTCGGAGGCAGCCTACTATCTACAAATTTGGTGGCAGAAGGCCCTAAACCGCAGACTTCTGATTTTGCGGGACCACACGGGAGACCATAGAGCAGATTATAAGGGAGACCATGTTATAGACCATACGGGAGGCCATACGGGAGACCCTACGGAAGGCCATGCGGGAGGCCATGCGGGAGGCCAAGCGGGAGACCATACACACGGGCTACATATTCCGCATCCAGATTCGCCCACCCCAGTCCTCGGACAAGCTGTCCGGCGTGAGGAATGCGTGCGCACACGCGCATACCTTGGGGCATCTGCGCGTGCTGCAATTTGTTTATTGTGGGCTATGTGTTGGTATGCCTCGTGCGCTCTGGGGCCGTGGAAGGCCGCAGGCTCATTGTCTCACAGCCCGGACTGACCAGCGTCGGAGCGAGGAATTTCTACTTTGCTTGAGCCCGAGCATGGACTATATATTCGCCATTGGCTTCTTCGGAAATGGTTTCAGGCGCCGCTGCCTGACAGCATGTTTTTTCTGGCCGCTCGATCTGTTTGCCATTGAAGGCCGCGACTGGTGCCTGCATTCTGTTGGCAGCGCTTCGGCCAAACTTACCCAAATGTATCGGACGCACCAAGGGCATCGAAGGCACAAAACGAATCCAATACACTTGCCAATTGCATCGCGCCGGAAACCTCAGGCAACATTGGCCCCTGGCACCACTTGCGCCAGCCCCAACGCAACACCAGGAGCACCACAAAAAAGCGCTCCAAGAGCACTACATGCACCGAAATAACGTAACTCACGGCCCAGACGTGGCTGCTTGGGGGAAGACAACCACACAATGTAATGGAATATCCCCTTGTGGCACCTATTCATCACGCGCCTTCTCTGGAACCTGCATCAGAATCGCACGGCTATGGTCCTACGGCTTCTTCAGTTGCAGTGGCAAGTTTTGAGCGACAAGGGTGTTTACTTCCTGATGCTCTCCCACATGTCCTCCCTCACCTCCCTTGTCCTGTTCCTCGTCGCGCCCCCGGGGCGTCTGGTGCACGTGTTCAGTGGCTGTGGAGGCCTCCTGGCGCTTGTGCAGATGATGATGGTGATGAGGAGGATGATGACGATGATGATGATGAGGAGGAGGAGGAGGATGAGGAGGATGATGACGATGGTTATGGTGGTGGTGGTGATGATGATGGTGGTGATGATGATCATATGGATGATGCTGATGATGATGATGATGATGATGCTGATGATGATGCTGATGATCACGATGATCATTGTCATCATCATCATCGTCATCATCATCACCATCATCATCATTATCATCATCGTCGTGATCGTCATCGTCGTCACCATCGTCACGTCATCATCATCAGAATCGTCGTGATCGTCATCGTCGTCATCATCATCACGCCACCGCCATCGTCATCCACCCTCGAGGCCAGGGTCCTCTGCGCGTGCTCGCCCCCCACACGCGTCGACGTGCGTGGCCCTTCCCGGCCTGCCCGCTGGTGACTTCCGGGCTCCACTGGGCGGGCCCACGAGGCGGTCGCTCCCTGCCGCCCCCCTTCCTCCAAAACGCTGCGCTCAGGGGGGCGGGAAACAACGAGATGAGAAGGGACGTTCTCAAGATGCTCGTGCGCTCCCCCTTTTTTTGTCGGTTTCGTGCGTGCTCCCTTGGCTCGATGATCCAGGGTGTTCCTCGATGGTCTTCGCCGAGACCAAAAATGCACACTGCCCAGCGATGCCAGATCTCGGAAGGCCGGAGGCGCCCTGAGCCTTCCGAGAAGGCCCAGCCCTTCTGCCTTCCCCCCTTGGCGCGCCCCCAACTTGGGGTGTTGTGGCGGACATGTTCGCCGAGCTCAACAAGAGAGGCAATTGGATTACAGCTGGCCCAGATTAGTAGGTCGACTCTGCCAAATCGAGGGTACCCTTGTGTCCTGTGTCTCGCGACCCATGCTGCCCACATTCTGGTGGCAGTGTAGCCCTCGGAAGGGTCTTGTGTCCTCTCGCGTGTCCTGTCCAATCGAGTCCGACTGTATCAGATCGTCCAGTTTTTTTATACCACACCTTCCCTGCCCCAGTCAGGTTCCCCCGCCCGAGGCCACTCTCAGTGTACAAGCCGCGCCCCACGGAGGGAGCTTTGTATACCAGACCCCACGACCAGGACCCTCGCCCGCCCTCCGGGGGTGTTAAGGTGTGGTATGCGAATTGTTCCGGCGGGAGAGAGGGAGAGAGAGAAAGAGATCTGGATGCAGCTCCGAATACATTAAGTTGAGCATTGGTGCTGGCATATCCGTGGTCGAAAACCAGCACAATCCGGCACAGGCAGTCCGCGTAATCGTGCGAGTCCGGGGCAATCTGGCATAAACCCAGGCTACCACCAGCCTTGTTTGGCTTATGGTACCTCAGTCTTGTTTAATTGCCGTTGATCTTTTTTTGCGAAGACCTCTCAGGAGTTGCTTCCTAGCAGAGAGGGGGAGATGGAGAAAGAGAAATAGAGAGAGAGTCTTGGTCTCCCAGATGGGGTCCGAACAAAATGGTTTCGGAGGGTCGCGCTGCAATGCCGATGCATCGGCGATGCGGCTCGATGTGGAGCCGGATTTTCTTCATGCCGACGGTGCCGATGCATCGCCGACGTCGTTGCTTTATCGCATCGCCAATGCATCGGCGATTCATCGCCGATGCGGCGCCATCCTCCGACCCCATCTCTTCCGACCCCATCTAAGACTAGGAGGCTTCTAGATCAGGTGACGAAATCTATACATGTCCACCGCCCCCTCGCCAGGGAGCTGTGGATACGTATAGATTTCGTCGCCCTATCTAAAGAGAGAGTTTGAGTTCCAGCGCGTCGTCATCTTCTCCCCCCCTCTTGGGGGCCGCGCCGTGTGGCAGCGCGGGATGCCCGCGGGGACGGTGCACATTTGCCGAGCAGGCGCAGCCCACTGCCGCCGCGGCATAGGCTACAGTCTGCCGCGAGGGGCCCTGGGCAGGTCAGGCGCTGCTCCAGTCGCCCTGGAGAGGGCAGCATGCCCGCACGCCCTCCGTCGCCATTTGGCAAAGGCACCCCTCCCGTGCGCCCAGAAGTGCAGGGGAGCGTGCAGGCAGAGGGCAGGGACTGCAGGCAGCTCTTCTGGTCGGAGCCGGGCCATGCGCATATTGCGTCGGCACGCGCGAGCGCAGCAGCATCGTACCCTCCCCAGACGTCCAACGTCTTGAAACATTCCAGGCAGGTTTCAGCGTTTTCGACCTCTGGGGGCCCTTGCCAGGCCCCCAGGCCGTCAGCAAAAGCACCCAGGACGAAAAACCGGCCCTGGGGAACGGGTCGGGCTTTCTAGGGACCCAGCATTGAAAATATCAGATGGCCTTCGGTTCATACTGCCACTGTGCCTGGGTTGTGGGTCAGAGTTCGTAGGGATGTTTCTTCGGGTCTCTTCGGGGCGCTCTCGGGGGGCTCCTGGGAGCAATTTTGAAGCCTCTTGGCAGCCTCTTGGGTGCCTCTTGGGAGCCTTTTGGGGCCTCATGGGAGGCTCTTGGGGACTCGGCCTCTTGGGGGCCTCTTGGGGCCTCCTGGGGGCCCCTCGGGGCCGAGGGCTCGAAGTCCCCGTTCGGGTTTCCCATCCGGGTCCCCTCTTGGGGCCGTCTTTGGGCCCTCTTGGGCCGTCTCGAGCCTCCTTGGGCCGTTTTGGGGCCCTCTTGGGGACCTCTGGGGCCGTCTTGGGGCGATTTGGGGGGCCTCGTCAGCCGTCTGGGAGCGTCGGAAAGCCGAAAAATCGAGAAGGCCAAACAGTTTGAAGAAGCGGAGGTAATCCATGATTTTTGCCTCTTGGGGCCCTCACTCTTGGGACGTCTTCGAGGCCTCTTGGGCCGTGTTGAGGCCATCTTGGGCGTATTGGGGCTCCCTTGGGCCTTCTCGGAGGCATCTTCGGCCCTCTAGGGCGCTTTTTGAGCCTACGTTTGTTGCGCTACCTGAGGACGCGCGCGACACGCCCTGGGAATCTCAGCGAATCCTTGAAAATTCCCACAAATCCATAGGAATCCTTGTGAAACCAGTGGCCCAGGCCCAGAAAGCTTTTTATAGAACCCTACAACTCTGAACTTCTCAGGGCTGCATGAGCGAGCCTCGGGCCACTTGGCTACGTGCTGCTGGCACGGTGGCGGATCAAAGCAGCGGATGTTTGAGCCCTGGGGAGCTTAGGTCACCTGGCTAAGCTTGGACGCGCACGGTTGAGTGGAGTGGACGCATTGTCGGCGAGCCGCTAGTTGGGTGGCGTGGCAGCGTCTGACGACGAGGGTTCTGGGCGCAGGCGTCGCCCTGCGCGCGCCTCTCATCACATGGCGCTCGGCAGCCGCAGTCGCCCCGCCAGTGTGCGGGCGTTGTCCGCCCGTCGGCTTACCATACCGCCTGAACGCTGGCGCCATTGGGCGCGAGTCTCCTCCTCCGCCTCCTCCCTCTTGCCATGTTGACGGCTTTTCGGTTTTAGAAGCTTGCGCCATCCCGCCAGATCCCCCCAGAAGGGGAGAGGATATCATGGACGAGGTGGGTTGGTTATTGGACCGACCCGTATTCGGCACTCAGGGTGGGTTATGGATCTTGGCAAACGGCGTACACTTGACAACGTCTCTGATAACCGGGAAGGGTCTTTAGTGTTGCTCCCCCGTCGTGTTTCTTTCGGCGGGGAATAAACTCGACCCTTCTCCTCCTCCTCCTCCTCCTCCTCCTCCTCCTCCTCCTCCTCCTCCTTCTCCTGCTCCTCCTCCTCATCCACCTCCCCCCCTCCTTCTCCTGCTCATCCTCCTCCTCCTCCTTCTCCTCCTCCTCATCCTGATCCTCCTCCTCCTCCTCCTTCTCCTCCTCCTCCTCCTCGTCCTCCTCCTCTTTAGTTGGCCAGATCTTACGCTTACGCGTGTTGCGTTCTTCCTCCTCCTCCTCCTCCTCCTCCTCCTCCTCCTCCTCCTCCTCCTCGTCCTCCTCCTGCTCCTGCTGCTGAGGATGCACCCCAAGGAATTGGGCGCGCTGGTGAGTGCATGGGCGGACTGGTTCGCCAATGTCAGGGCGCTAGAGCACAAGCTGCCCGACACCCTGGTGGACCTGTTCAATTTCAAGCTCGCGGACGCCTGCGAGGAGGCCTCGGTGCAGGCCTGGCAGCAGGCCGCCTTAGGCGCGCTGTCCGATGAGGCGCGTGGGCTGGTCCAGCGCACGTGCCGCCCCGGCGCTGCCGTCGCCCCCGCGCAGGTGGTGCGTGGCCGCTACCGCCTCCGGCGCCGTCCGACAGGCTGGCAGCGTGTGGATTGCCTCGCGCGCGCTGCCACCGACGCTGCGAGGACGAGGCTGGAGCGCCCTCGGCCTTGCAGCAATTCATGGCGCGTGCGCGCGCCCGCCGCCCAGCCTCGTCTCTGCCTCCCTTGCATCCGCGTCGGCGCCGCTGTCCACGGGCCGCGAGGAGGCTCTTGTGCTCGCCGTCCAGGCGGCGGATCGCTTCCTCGGCCCCGAGGGAGGCCGGCCCTGGGTTGGCCATCCTGGGCCCGGGGTGAGACCCACGGGAGACCCTGGACTCCCGCGCCCTCCACGGAGCGCGACGGGAGGGCCCGCGCCCCGACGCGGGGGGCCGCGACGGCCCGTAGTGCGTTCTCGGCCTGCGTTCCTGGTGGCGGCCGTGCTGTCGGTGCGAGGCCGTGGGCTCGCGTCAGCGCTGTCGGGGATGCCGACGGCGCTTCTGGGAGGGATCTTGGGGGGAGCGGCACAGGTCCTTCGACCGCCTGTGCTGGTCCGTCCAGGGCCGAGGACCCCGCGCAGGCCCCCCGGGGGCCCACTGTGTCTGGCAGGCGAGGCGGTGCTCCCAGTGGGCCTGGTACTGGTGGCAGTACACGGGGGCCCCCGCTCAGGCTTGCCGAGCCTAGCTTTGAGCCCACTCGGGGCCACGACATGGTCGCCGAGGGCCCTTCGCTTATTGTTTCAACTGCGGTGGATCAGCATCCAGTCGCCGATCCCCAGTGCTGATGGCCAACTGCAATGGGCCCGTCACCTGGGAGACTAGCCGGCTTCGGGCTACAGCTCTTAGAAATCTTCGAGCTGGCCGCCATATTCTGACGGGGATCCCCTCAAGAGGTGGCGCCCCGAGTGCTCAGCACCCCTTTCTGTCCTCGAGGCTCCCCAGTGGCTTGCTGCTGCGGAGACTCCACGGAACGCCGGGTCCTCCTCCTGCTCCTCCTCGTGGTCGTCGTCGTCGTCGTCGTCGTCGTCGTCGTTTTTCGTCGTCGTCGTCGTCGTCGTCGTCGTCGTCGTCGTCGTCGTCGTCGTCGTCAGTTCCGGCGCGAGCTCAGCTCGTGCTGGGACTAGCGCCAGCGGCGGGCCGCGCGCGCCAGGGCCGGCCTGCGATGGCGGACTGAGCGGCCGTGGTGAATTGCGGGTTGCTACACATCTGCGCACGAGCCTCCAAGGGGGGGGCTGCTGGTGCGGGTGCGGGGCGGCATGGTGGACCCCGCCGGTGGGCATCCCCATCCTGGGGGCGGTCCTCCTCCAGTGGGCGGTGGTGCAGGCGGCTGGGCAGTGGGACTTGACGGGGGAGGCCGCGAAGGAGCAGATCGGGAGGGCGGACCACAGCGTCGCGAACGAGAGCGTGGCCAAGGAGGAGAACCAGGAGGGGGAGGAGGTGACCGATGACACTGCAGAGGATGCGACCCAGGAGTGCGACCTGGAGGATCTGCAGGCGAAGGGCGAGCAGCAGGGCTGGCAGAAGGCGAGGCGCCCTGCGGCGGCACGCCAGAGCCCAGGGCCCCGCGCGCCGTCATAGGGCGCCAACATGTTCGACGAGCTGGCGGGTGCGGACGAGCACAAAGGCGACGACGACGGAGGAGACGGGGTACTGGAGATGGCGGGGGCCACCACGAGCGCCAAGGAGCAAAAGGGCAAGAAGAACGGCAAGGGAGGCTTGGGGAAGGAGCAGGACGACCAGGACATCCTAGAGGCGGCCATCGCGGCGGCGGCTGCCGAAGCGTCGGCGGCTCGGCCGGTGGCTTCGGCGGTCGGGGCGGCCGCGGGCGGCGGCGGCGGCGGCGTCGGCGGCCTCGAGGGCAGTGGCAGTGACGCGGCAGAGGGCGACGGGAGCGAGATGGAGGGCGAGCAGGGGAGCTCCGTCGACTCGGAGGCGGTCGCGGAGCGCATGCAGCAGGAATTCTTCCGCCTGATGGACGGGGGCGGCGGCGAGGACCTCAAGGAGCCCGAGGGGGCCGAGGAGGATAGCCTGGGCCGACGGCGGCTCGTGGGGCGGCATGGGCGGACGGCGTCTCGGCGGGCGGCATCGGCGGAAAACGTGGAATGGTCCAACAGGCCGCCTGGGAGGCCAGCAGGCGGCGGCCCTCAAGGTCAGCGGGGACCGCTGGAAAGGAACGAGGGAAGGTTGGTGAAGCGGGACTTCGGCTGAGGCTGGGCCGCGAGCCGGCACCGTCAGAAACCAGGTGGGCTGGTTGAAGTTCTGGGCCCGTGGATGGGATTCGGGGTCCGCCTGAAACCCCCCGCCCTTGGGCGGTGCCTCCACCCCGCGCTCAATCGCGGTGTGCGGGGGGCCTCGCTCGCGCGCGCTCAGCAGCGCGCGCGGCCTCGCTCGCGCGCTGCTCAGCTTGGGGACCGTGCCGTGACACGGCCCCGCGCCGCGTCAGAGAGCGTCAGACAGCGTCGTCATCGTCGTTGTCGTTCGTCGTCGTCGTCGTCGTTCGTCGCTCGTCGTCGTCTTCGTCGCGGATAATCCAGGTGCTTCTCTTAGCGAGCATGACCGCCAAACGCCGGCGGCGCGCCAATAGGGGGGCAGGCAGAGGGGCCCCGGCCTGTTCAGATGGCCCCAGATCGCCTCCTGTCTGCAGAGTTTTTTTTATTTTACGCTTTCTCACCGAGGACACCTCGCCGGGGCTCCTGCGAAATTGCAGCGTGTTCCGGAAGGCCCTTTCGATCTGTTTTCCACCACGTGTGCTGTCAAGCTTTCCTCCAGAAGCTCCTTCGGAAGCTCCTTCCAGGAGCTTCAGCGAGCTCTTTCGGGAAACGTTGGAAGGCCTTTCTGGCGATCCGCTATCCAGGATTGGGATTCCGCCACTTCTAAGCGTTCCCCCAGACACGGAGGCTTCTCAGAAGGCCCGGGGACTTCTGAGAAGCCCCGCCGCCTTCTGAAAGGTTTGCCCCCGCGCCGCCCCTCCCCCCAAAACTGCACTTTGTCCGAAAAGGGTTGGTACAGCGGCAGTTGCCGTGCAAGCTGGTGCGGCCTTGTCTAGGCACGACCGTGGCCACGTTGAGGCATCGAGGTCGCGTTGTTTTTCCACTTGCGGATTCTAGCTGTGTTGGCCCAGTGGGGGGGCATTTGTTGTCAAACAACAAAAAACAAAAATCCCGTCGCACTGCCCACCCCGTCCCCGCACACTTTTTAGCGGAACCTGATTGGGGGTTGCACGATATAATCACCGCAGTGTTCTTTGGGTTCACGTGTTCAGACACGCGCGCCGCATCCTTTCACGTACGCGCCGTACGTTCAGTTTGCAAGGCGAAGCCATGCCTCTTCCTTCCTTTCGCCACCACATCACCAGTTACATGATCGACGCGCCAAAAAAACGATGCCGTTTTCGCCGACATTGGCGCGCAATTTGCACGCGTAAGGTCGTGCGTCAGCGCCTTCGGATGCAGCATGCCGCACGGGCGGCCCGCGTAAGCCGCCGCGAAAGTATCCCGTACCATCTCGCAGCAGATAATTATTTTCGTCGCTCTCACGTCAACCCTCTGGGAATGGTGCTTTCGCCTTGGTGGCGGAGCTTGCACATGGTTGAATCCCGCCGTCTGGATGCTTCTGAACGACGGAACGCGTTGTGTATTCGCCCATCCTGCGACATCGCACCAAATCACTTTCAAGGGCATGTGGCATGTATTCCACGAGCTCGAAAACGAGCTGTCTGATATCACAAGTGATTTCAAGGGCGCGAAAAAAAACGCCCTTATCCTGGTTTCCGCTTGTGTGGCTTACGAAATTCTGGGGGCTCAGAACCGCCCGTCTCCAGCCCTTTCAACAAACTTGCACGGTTTCCCGAACGGCATGACACAGTTTGCTCCCCAAGGGCCCCAACCGCAGCGCCAAGCATCTCAGCAATTAGCGTCCCAGCGGCGAAACACGTACGCGTGCTGATGAATCTGAGTCAGGGCGATTGTCTCACACATTCGAGCAATTGGTTTGTCAACCCAGGTCAATTTTGGTTTCAGTGAAACTGCCAGCGTGTTGGATGCGCCTACCACCTCAAACGACCAGTTCGGACACGAGCAAATGCCAGCTAGCACCTCAGACCACAACGAGACCACAAATGTAGCGGCGGTCATCGAGGACGTCGGAAAGGATGGGCAGGATGCCCAGCCCTGAGAGAGAAGCCCAAAGTGCGGCTGGCCATGAGCGTGGAGGTGTTCTGGATGGAAGGGGCCCTACAGCGCCGGTTTTAATGCATGCTCCGCGTGCGGATCATGTATCTAAAATGCAGGGATTTAGAATTAAAAACAACGATGAGTTCATGCATCAATGTATTCATAAATTAATCATGCATTAGAAATCTTATATGTGTTTCAAATCCTATGTATTAAACAACCGCCCTGTAAGGGGCTGTTCCTTGTCTCCGGGCGGCTGGTCGCAGGCGGCGTCTCTGGCCGGCCGCCCTTTTTGCAACGCGCTGCGAGGCGCCCCCGCTGTACGGCGGGTCAGGAGGCCTGGAGGCTGTCACGAGGCCTTCTCGGGTGCTCCAGACAGCCCAGGGAGGGCCCAGCATGCCCTCAAGAGAACCCCAGAGGGCCCTGAGGGCCCCGAGATGTTCCCGAAGAGCCCGCAGGCAGGCGAGGCCGAACAGTTTCGCGAGGGCTGCGCGATGGGGGCACGAGGCGGACACAGCACGGGGACCAGCCAGCCCGAGGTCTGCGCACCTGTTCCTCACAGGTGCACCCCTCCTCCGCCCGACTTCCCTCTCTCCTCTCTTCTCCGTCGTCTTACTGTCTCCCCTCCTCCGCCGGACTTCCCTCTCTCCTCTCTTCTCCGTCGTCTTACTGTTTTTCTGCCGCCTTCTGTAGGGAGGATCCTCGGGATGGAGAGCCTGGTGACCACTATGGGGCCTCCCACATCTGTCCTCCTTCCCTCCCTCCTCCACGCTCCTCTCCACCGCTCCCCAAGCAGCCAGCAGGTGAGGCCCGAGGAGAAGCAGGTGGAAAAATGCAAGGCGGTACGCATCGGCAGGGCAGCAGTCCAGCAACACGTCCTTCCGCCTGGTGCCCCTAAGAGCGGCCCCGCGGAGCATCTTGTAGCCCTGTCCCTTGTCCGAGCGCGCGTCTTGCTGAGATGTTTTGGCCCGGCTGCCATGGCTGGCATGCTGCAGAGCTCTCGCGCAATGGCGTTCCCTGCCTGTGCCGCGCCGTGTCTCGGGTGTGTCGGGCGCCAGAGGGGGCGACCCGGCTGCCGGGGGGCCCTGCTCGTGAGGGGGCCGCCTTCTCCGCTCCAGACGGCCTCGGCCCGCGAAAGTGGGGCCGCAGGAGCGAGCGGCTCCCCAGGCAGGGCAAAAAGGCGCGCGCCCCTCGATCGTGCAAGCAAGTTGGTGAGATGGGCTGGGGAAATCCGTTAGCTCTACACACGAACCAACGTCCACCTGCAGCCCGTCGGGCGTCGCCGGGGGGGGGCCGGGATGGGATGGGCCCTGGTCACGTGACTTCTTGCGCCAGCGATGACAACCGTTACGCCGAACAACACTCCCTTCTTTTGCGCACTCACATCATATATACACACTTGTTGAAGACACCACGCGCTCCTAGATGGGCTGGGAACCTCCGCCAGGTCCCATCAGGTCCCCACTCAAGCCAACGTCCTCCTACATTCTGCGCTCGGAGCGATCTAACAACGGTTGCTGGATCGGTTTCGCCATCCTTGGCGTTGGTCAGGCCACGAGCGATTATTGATAGTGTACTTCTCTTGGGGAGCAAATGTTGAACATGCAGCGCCCTCCACCTTTGCAGGCGAAAGACGAGTTCCTCGGGGAGGGGATCAAGTGAGGGGCCGTAGTACAGTAGGTCCCCCCCATGCTGCCTGAATGTGGCCAGAATCTGGGTAAGCTCAGTGATATTGGCCGTCTCGTCGAGTCCTCTTGGGGTGTCTTGGGTGCCTCTGGGAGGGCTCTTAGGGTCTCTTGGGGGTCCCTCGGGAGGGTCGAGAACCTGGGGGCCCGCACACTGAAAAAACCACAGCATCAGAGGTCGTCGGCGGGAGCGCACAATCCGGACGGGCAGCAGCCGCCAAGGCCACGGAAGCGACGGCTGGGCGTCGTTGCTGGCGGTGGGCACGTTCGACAGCACCTACGACAGTGTGTGCTCTTCGGCCGGGTGTCTTGCGCGTGCCGTAGAATCGACAGCATATACGACGGGGTGCTCGTCGGCCACTGAGCCCGCCATGCGGGAAGGCTGGAGGTTGCGGCAGGGGGGTGCTGGACGATGGTCGAAGGCGAAACATCGCCATGAACATGCACTTTCGGAGCTCCGCGCGGTTTTCTTGCACTGGAGCCCCTTAGTGGCGCCTCTGGCACCCCCCGCTGACCCGCTCCGCGCGCTAGGGAGGGGGTCTCAGCGTGGATCCGAGAACTGAATCCGCGCGGACCTCCGAAAGTTTATATTCCCCAATCAGAGCTTGCCTCTGTAGGGGTCCTAGCGGATTAAAGGGTTAGGTGAGGTTGGTCGCCGATTTCGGTGGCCGGGCCCGGGTGCCCGGCGGTGCCCGGGTGGCCGGTGAGGTGCGTGGCCGATTTCGGTGGCCGGGCTCGGGTGCCCGGGTGCCCGGGTGCCCGGGGGTGCCCAGGTGCCTGGGGGTGCCCAATAGCCCAGTAGCCTTATAGCCCTATAGCCCTATAGCCGTATAGCCCTATAGCCCTGTAGCCCTATAGCCTTATATCCCTATAGCCCTAATAGCCTTATATCCCTATAGCCCTATAGCCCCATAGCCCATATAGCTCTACAGCCCCATAGCCCTCTAGCCCTATGGCCCTATAGGTCACAGTCCTATAGCCCTATAGCTCGATAGCCCGATAGCCCTTTAGCCCGATAGCCCGATAGCCCTATAGCCCTATAGCCCCATAGCCCTAAAACAATGAGATTGGGATTTTTCTCCGGTATCATTCATAGTCACTTTCCCTAGAAGAAGAATGCTTCTCGGGGAGGCGCTGCCTCCCAGTAGGCACCGGGTGTCATCATTGTTGCAGTATGGGGTCCGTGGCAGTCCTGGCCCTTTCCCCAAGGACGGCCTTTTTTCCTCTGCGTCGTTCTGTCGACGGTCCTGGGGTTCGACGAGGGCCCCCAGAGGCCGAAGGATGCAACACATTTCCATTATGACTTGTTCAAAACGCTGGAGATCTTGGTTTGGCGGGCACGTTCGACGGCATCCGCGAGGGGGTGCTCTTCGGCGGCGGGGCGGAGGGGGAAGCTGCGGCGAGGGGCGCCGACTGAGGAAGTGCTGCTGGGAGAGCGTGGTCCAGGCAGGTTTTTTTCTCGCTTTTCAAAAGGGGAGGTGTAGGTGGCGGAACATCCAAACCCTAATTACCCCCACCAACTATCGATTCTCCTGAGTCGATGGGAGGCGGGGGTAGGGTTCGGGGTTCGCCGCGTGCTCGACGAATTCCGAGCCGTACCCACGCTGCCGATCGAGCTGCTTGCATCGTTGATCGGCGAGGGTAGGGCTCGGATTTCGCTGCCGGGGGCTGTCACCGGGCGGCGAGATCTCCCTGCGCACGTCC